ACCACTGCTTCCTCTATTATTTTTTTTAGTAAACCAGTCAGTAGCCCCATTGTAAGTAATGTCCGTCAAACATAGATTTTCCTTTCTTATTCTGCAAAACAGCACCCTTTTCTAAGTCCTGGATAACTTACTTTTCTAACTGTACTCAGAAGATCTACCTTTAAATGACTTATAAAACTGTTCCATAGAACACTATCCTTCAATATGTACAGAATTAAGTTCAAACTAGGTAGGTCTATATTTAAAACATTTTATATCTGAAACAATCTTCTCCATCCTTAGCTTGTCCACTAATTTTTTTTTTTTTGTTCCAGACTTAATTTTAAACTCATTTCTCAGGATAGGTCAATAAACACTGTGTCTTTGGCTCATGTTATTTTCCTAACTTATATGTCCTCTTCATTTTTACACTCAGGTGATAATATTTTTTCCTTTAAAGGAAGGCTTTGGTTTGTACTATTCCATGAAATCAGCAAATAATCCTTCTCTCTCTCTTTTTCTTTTCTTCTCATTACTTATCACACCTTTTTAGTATCCCCCTCTTTTTACTCCATGTGGAATATGCAATTTGTGTTCTTGTGTTTTGGAAGTATATTTATAAACCGATTTCTTATTATGCATTTTCCTATAAACACAGCTAATATATAATGATTAGTTTCCTAGTCTCTAGGACCAGGGGTGGGCAAACTTTTTGACTCGAGGGCCACAGTGGGTTCTTAAACTGGACCGGAGGGCCGGAACAAAAGCATGGATGGAGTGTTTGTGTGAACTAATACAAATTCAAAGTAAACATCATTACATAAAAGGGTACGGTCTTTTTTTTTTTTTAGTTTTATTCATTTCAAGTGGGCCTGATCCGGCCAGCGGGCCGTAGTTTGCCCACGGCTGCTCTAGGACTAATGTAATAATGAATACAATTAGAGTAAACTGAGAAAGAATCCTACTTTTCATTTTGCATATAGGCTTCTCTTTACTTTTCAATTGAGAAATTCTTGAAAAATGTTGAGAAGCCTCTGAGAGCAAAATAGGGCCACTTGTTAGTATAAACTGCCTGGTTTTACATCTGTGCTCTCCCATTTAATAATAACTCTACGACAACGGGAAAGTTATTTAACCTTTCTATGTCTCAGTTTCCTTACCTTTAAATAAGAAACTAATAGTGCCTACATCATAAGGTTTTTGTGAATAAAAAGTTAATATTTGTACAATATTATAACAGTGCCAAGCACACAAAAAGTGCTGTATAAAATTAGTTAAATAAAATATGTTTATGTAGGACTTCTATTTCTTCATAATCATCTATTTAATAATATCTTTCCTGCCCTGGCCACTGTGACTCAATTGGTTGTGCACCATCCCATGCACCAAAAGGTCACTGGTTCGATTTCCCTTCAGGGCACATGCCTGGGTTGTGTGCTTAATTCCCAGTAGGGGGCATGCAGGAGTCAATCAATCAATCAATGTTTCTCTTTCACATTGCGCGCGTTCTCTCTCTTTCTGAAGTAAAAACATATTTTAAAATGTCTGTCCTATTTCTTCATGTGAATACTGTTCAAAAACACAGGCTCCATTAGCTAGTTTTTAATATTCACTACATTAACTATTAGCCTTGCTATATAGAAGATAATAAATACTTGGTCACTCACTTAACTCACATTTGTAATATTACATTTTCCCTTAAGAAGTGATTAAAATTCACATTCTTTCGAGAAATGTTTTCTAAGTTAAATAATGTAATTTGTACATTTAAAAGACATTTGCAAGGTATGTCTCATGTACACAATCATTTATATTTTATAGGTAATATAAAGTGTTGAATCCAATGCTTTAATAAATTCATTTTGCAAGGCAATATTTAAATCAGTCTCAATTTTTACAATTCTGCTAACTACTTATTTGCTTAAAGACTAGATTTGTTCTAAAAAATACTACTACATAGGTTTTGTTTTAAAATATGTGTTACCTTTTGTTTTTTATAACTGGAAACTGTAGTATAGTTCTCTTGTTCCTGACAATATAGACATTTGTCTACAGTTATAGGTCGTTTTTTAGAAGAATTTGAAACATTTTTCATTAGGCACTCTGAAATTGAGGGTACGTTTTTACAAGTACTGGATTTATCAATATCCTTCCTAGGTTTTACATGAACATTCATTTTTTCTCCTCTCTCCAATTGAAAAGTCTTCTCTCTATTATACAGCATTTGGCACAGGATAAAGGAAATGGTTAATTCAGCATTCTTAGCACACATTATCTTCATATGTTCAATAGTTTTCATGACTTTCACAATATGGGCCATTTTCCCTAAATCTTTCTGAGGGGCAGCCAATATATTTTTGAGCAGCGTAGAAAACTGACTGTAGTTGTATTCTAACTCTGTCACAGTGGTTCCATAATTTATGGATGCTACACATGGCACAAAGTCAATATACGTGGAAACGGAATATTCAGACTTCTGTAGAAGTTTTTTAACTTGTGAAAGTTCTTGAAGTTCTCTTGAGAACAAATGAAGAGCGTATGAGTGATTAAAAGCAGCTTCATCATGTCTGTTGATAATATCCAGATCTTCCTTAAGTTCGGAAATAGCAGTCTCTATCACTTTCCAAAGGCAATCTGTTGAGTTATCTTTAAGAAATGAAAAAGAAGCCATTTTTTCTTGGCAGTGAACCAGATCAGGAAGAAGTGACAAGTCAAACCAAAGCATACCTCGAAGCCGTTGTTTATCTAGTTTCTTTGCCATTGAGTTTTTAAGGAAGTGAACTGTTTCTGAGAGCATGGCTATTTCAATATAGGTTTCAGTGGCTGCAGGTTTTAAAATTATAGCCTCATTGCTGTGGTTTTCGACCACATCCAAAACGTTTTCTTCTGTAATAAAAATATTTTCTCTGTTATCGTCTTGCAGCATCTGAAAATACTTTTTTAAAGTTTCTAAGTGATTGGTACATCTCAAAGTGAGTTCCTGTAATTTTTTAAAATCTGCAAATTCAGCTTGATCCAATACTTCATTAATACAACAGATATCTGGATGTGAAAGCAAAGTACTGTTAAATTTACAGTTTTCTCTGCTAATTGTTTCTTTGTTTATTAGGTCATCTGACTTTCTGGAAGCCACCATAGTATTCTCCTCAAGCCCAATATTGGAAACTTGTTCACTGCTTAATTCTTTAGACAATGTATCATATATCTTTTGCAATTTAGAAAAATAAGATTGATTCATCTTGAGTAGTGTTTCTTTATTTTTCTGTCCTGAGCATTTTTTGCTGATAGATTGTCTCTTCTCTTTCCAAACAAGACTTTTCGCAGCATCGAAAAAGATATGTTCCAGACCATAAAGAGATATATTAATACCTATTGCCTCATTGCTCTTGATAAAATTAACTTTTGAGGAGATCATTTCAATGATAATCCACATATGGTCTCGTTTTCCTAGATGAGAATCAACTTTAGGGGAGTCCCCATACATACTGATCAGCTCTAAAGTACTTTTTCTTAAGGTTTCAAGGTCTCCTAAACTATCTCCGAAGTTAACTCCACAGGTAAATGGAACAGAAAGAGAAAAGTCAAAGCAATCAGAACAATGCCTCAAGATTGCTTGACACTCATTAATCTGTCGTTTGCATTTTAAGAATGCGTAGTATGAATTTCCCTTTTTGGCGTCTTCTAATAAGTTAGCTAATTGATCGTGATAGTTCTGCAACTCACAGTACGCGTTGTATTTTAGCCTTCCTTGAAAAGCAGGGTAGAAATTGGATTGTTGTTGAAATCCTCGTGGCCTGCCAAGCAGCTCACTGTACAACGTCTCATCATACCAAAGCAAGCTTCGGAATGTCGGTTCACCTCTTAAGAGCCTTTTTTTGTTTTCAATGAATTGAATAGTTTCCATCATCATTTGGAGTTCTACCAAGGAGTCAACAGCACATGGTTTTAACTTCTGTTTGCAATTATTCCACAGGTTTTTTTCTACCAACAATTCTCTTGAAATCAAGATTTGCTCAAGTGAACATTCTTGCTTTCTTTCAAAAGCTTCAACAAACAAGGGGAGAATACTTTGACAAATCTTAGTTTCTTCCTGTAGACTCTGCAAAGATGAAGCTTCATCTGCCCTCCTTAAAATTTGAGCTAGCCTAGCTGGGAGATCTGAATGATTAGCTGAGCAATGTTTTTCTTCTAATTTATTTATGTATGATGTAGGCTTCTTCCGAGGAGTGGTGACTTTGGAGGTTTCAGAGTGAGCATGTAAAACAGGCATGTGATTCATTCCTAAAATGTCTGGTTGTGGGGTAGAATCAAACTGAGAGTCATTAACTTTAACCCCCTGTTTTTCTCTTTTGTTAAGCTGATTAGAGACTGTGTTATTCAAAGAAATTGCCTCACTAGTATTTTTAATGCTTAGACGAAGATCGATCAAGTTATTTTTAATTGTTGTCTCACTTAAATAGGGGGATTCTTCTAAAATCGTAGTCTTGTATTCATTCCTAACAGTTGATCCTTCATTCATACTTTTTGCGTGAACTGAATCTTGTGCTTTTTTGGTTTTTTTAGCTTTCCACATTTTTCTGTCTGGAATGTCTTTCTTTGAAATACCTATTTTGGAAGAACCTTTTATATCATCTTTTAAGAGCAGAGAACTATCACTAGCAAAAGGTTTTTTCATTATATTTGCCCCATAACTTTTACTTTCTTCAGTTACTGGTATGAGATCCAACTCAGAATTCTCAGTAACGTTGGTTTCATTCACATCTATAGGGATACAATTACTTGGAAAGCATTGTTCTGTCTTCAGAAGCTCCTTTCCACCACATTCTTGCTGACAGTGTGGTACATTGGTGGATCTTGCAAAAGAATCAATAGCTAAAGTCCTTTGTTTATCCAAATAAGGTTGTGAAGATTCCTCATTATGTGCGACTGGAACACTTGATAACAATTGAGAAATGCTGTTACACTTTTTGCTTATTGTCAGACTTTGATTTAATGGATCCATAAGGACATTTCCTGTAATAGTATCTGGTTTGGAGCTTTCAGTAGGAGATGCCCGTTTTTCTAGAAAATTTACTGCCAGGTTTCTTTTATAACCAGATAAAATAAGGTTATCTGGTTTGTAGTTATCAACATTCAAAAAGTGCTTCACATTTGATTGTAAGACTGAAATAACTATGTCAGTTTTCACTTTTGTGTGAGCGATACAAGTTGCATCATAATTTTTGTCTGAGCTAAAACGTACATTGTTTTCTTTTATGCAACTTAAAGATACTGAATTAGTTTTATTTATCATTTCATTAGCCTCAGCACTTCCTTCTATTGCGTCTTTAGTATTATGTGCTAAATGCTTCTCAGGCTTTTCATATTTATTAATGTTAGATAAAGATGTTATGCCAGTCTGGTTTTCTTTTTTAGTGAGTTTTTCATCTGGGCAGTCTGAGGACAACAGACACCCCATTTTCCCAGAAAAGGATTGAAGTTCTGATGATCTTGGATTTCTCATACAGGTATTGTCATAAGCTGACTGACTTGTATTTTGGGATGTGGAGCAGAGAGTTAACTGTGATTCAGGATATTCTTGGTCACAAAATTCTCTCACGTGAATAGTGGTGTGGCTTCTGGAGACACGGTTGGCCACATTTTTCTTAGAAAAACACTTTGTGATTCTCTCTCCATTTGTTCCATAAGACTGGTATTTTGATACACGAGTTAATGACTTATCAACTTCAAACCCCAAAGCTCTTTTCTCTCCTGACTTTTCATATTTCCTTTTTGAGAAAAAATGCTTAGTGGAATAATATCTTCTTTCAGCAAAAGGACTATAACCTTGAAGGTCACAAATTTCCCAAAAATTATTGCATATTATTGAGTATGATTTGGGTAATGGGCCCTTTCTTGAAGTTTCTCCCACTTTAGCTATAAGCTCCAAAGACGTGTTAACTCTTCTATGAGCTTTTTTCAAGTAAAGAAGAGCTCTGTCAAGTTTTTTTGAAAGGCATTTGCTTTTGCATAAAGATACTTCACTATTTAGAATATCCAGGACACTCCTAATGTGTTTTTCTGACTGTGAAAAGGTTTTGATTCGTCCTCTGGATAAGGAAGAAAAACATTCAGATGAGTTTTGATTAGTTAGCTTCCTCTTCTTCTCACAAATTTCTTGACACTGTACATTCTGGTCCCTAAAAGGTATATGTGGCTTTCGTTTGCTAATTCTTGACTCTGTGTCCTTTTTACTTATAGTATCATTACAATCAGTTTTTGACTTTGTAAGTAAACATCTGCTTTCTTTATTTATTGTTGTGACATCTGAAAGTTCAGTAAGCAAAGGTCCACTGTTTTGTTTTTCTGACGCACGATTCATGAGTTTATTATGACTCAAGTCAAAAGAAAGTGAGATTTCAGATTTACTCACTTGTCCCGATTCTTGCCTTTTATTACCAAATTTATCTTCACATGGGTAATCTGAATTTCCACCAGAACACTGGGAATAAACTTCAAATCCTGGAACTTTCCCTTTTTCCTCACATATTTCTGGTTTTGTGGCTTCAGTTATATATTTGCAAAAGGTATCTTTCAATGCAAGGGACTCAACAGTGGACCTGAATCTTGGCATAAGTGTATTAGTAAATGTAACTTGTAGATCTGGAAGTAAAATTGGGAACAAGAGCTCTGCTTCATTTTCTTCTGTAGAGGAAGAATCAGAGTGAGCCTGGTCACTATGCTCCCTGCTTGTGGTGCTTTTCAAAACTTCATTCTCCCCATTAGTGCTTCCTAATAGCCCTTCCCAATCGATACGAGACTTGAGAGTCTCATATAAGGTCCCAAATTCATCATACAGTATACTTCCATGGCTATGAATATCTTGTTGAGATGGAAAAGCATCATCACACTGTTCTGATTCTACTTCAGTTTCACTTTCCAATTCAAAATTTTGAAGAACTAAGTTGTCACTTATTGATTGATGAAATGAGTTGTATAATTTGTCTTTATCCAGACCCATTTCACAACCAGAAACCCTAGGCTTAACTAATAATCCCAAATCTGGACTCTCAGAACAAATTTTTTTAGACTTGTGTCTTTGGTGGTCTTCATGACTTGTGTCTAATGTGGGCACCATTGCATTATCTGTCTGTATTTCAGCATTTGAGGCTTCTTGCATTGAAGAATCTGAGATTTGGGGGTATATGGAAGTGAAACGTTCCACACTCCTTATGGTATTTTGCGTATCTTTTTGTTTTATGGCATTGATAGTATCTTCAGTTTCCAATAATGTAGTTTCTGTTGATACATATTTTCCCCCCCAAGTCAAATACAATGTAGAAAATTCTTCAGAACTCAGAATTTCTACATTATTGTAATTTTTATTCTTCTGCTTTTCATCTATATTAATAAAATTTTTGTTTGTATGAAAATCCAGCTTCTCATCTCCACATACATTTTCTGTGCTGTTTTCTGTAGATGAAGCAACGTCTTCCTCGTTAGCCTCAGTTTGGCTTTCTTTATCATGATCTCTTTGTTCTTTGAAATCAACATTCAGGTGTATATCATTATTCAACTGCGCATTACAGAACAGAGTATAATCTTGACCTTTATCGCCAATTTGAGAAGTTTCTTTACAGTTTCTTTGAATGTTTTCTAATGACACTGGATCACTTTCATTTTTCCTATGGACATATGTATGTTCTCTAGTTACGCTGCAATGTGAATTGTCATGAACTATTTTAATGTCATGAGATGAAATAACTGTATCTATTGGCAGTTCTTTGGCCTGAGGAATGTCTTTTGCTTCCTGGAAAGCATCAGTTATAATGCTAATACAGTTTTGATTTGTCTTTTTCAATTTCAGTTCCATTAGTTTTTGAGAAATGGCAAAACCGGTATGAATGTTATCTTCATTCTCCAAACAGTGTTGAGAATGCTTTTGTGAAAGGCTTTCCATTCTTGGAGTAAGAGCATTTTGTACTTCCAATGCTCGATAGCCTAGCTCATACTTATTATTTGTGCTGGGTATAGAAGACTTTGATGTTTCTAACTCTTGAGTGATTAACATTTGATCACATTTTTTCCCGAAAGAATCAAGATTTTCATCCTCTTTGCATTCTTTGTGCAAAAAAATGCAATTATCTACTGGACTGGTTTTTGTTTTATTAGTACAATAATTATCAATCTCTTTCCACAAATTTTGCTCTTCTGTATGTTTGGAATCGTCTTCATGGCCAGTGAAATTTCTCACCTTTCCAGTGTTTTGTATATACTCAGGTATGCTTTCTTTCCTTTGGAATGGAAAATCTGCAGACGTTGTGTGACCAGTCTGACATAGAGTTTTTAAATTAGAAGACTGTGATTCCTGAGAAAGGTTTCTGTTATACCCTTTCATACAAGTATTCATTGATTCATGAGAGTTATGTGCCTCACTATTTTGTTCAAATAAAAGTGGGATGTTACTTCTCTGTTGGGATCTCTGGGCTTTTTCCTCAGTGTGTTTTTGGTTCTCAACTTCTGAAACTACATTTGACGAACACATTGGGAAGGAAAAATTGTCTTGGTCCTGAAATTGTCCTGCCATGGTAATTTTATTGGGAATTGTATAATCACAGTTCTTAGAGCCCATGTTATGAGCCTGAGATTGTGAATCATCAAAAGAAAGTTTGGAGCAAGGAGCACCCAAACAATTAGTAAGAACAGCATCATCACCAGGCATGACTTCAGATGAGGAGGCAGAATTAGTTGGTACAGATAGGTTTATTTCTGAATTAACTAAATCTGAACTCTTCTTAAATGGCAATATCTCATTTAAACCTGTACTATTATGTTTTTCCATGTTTTCTTCTCTCCTTGTAAGTCTTGGGTCTTTGATGACTTTTGAAGTAATAACTGTGCTTGAGCCAATATTGTTATGAAGGGGAAAAGCAGCAGGAAGACCACTTAAAATATTTTTAAGATGTGTCAAATTTAACAAGAGGTCACCATTAACACTTTCTCTGGTATCACTGGGAATAGAAAGACCTGAATCATATGCATGTACTTCAGAAGTGTCTTTACATTCTGCTAAATTGTGCTTCATCTGTCCATTGTATGTTTCAAGGACAGAAATGTTTCCATCTTGTACATTTTCATAGGAACTAGAATTATTTGCATTGGGAGAGTTTATCTCTGAATTTAGTGCATTGCACGAACAGTTTTCCTGCGCAAATGTATCCACAGGTTTCCTGAAATGCTCATAGATGACAGTAGCATCTTTTCCTTTTCCAATTCTTTTGGCCACAGTACAGTTATTCAGAGAGCATGCTCTTTCTGTGAAAATAAAAAAATAAAATAAGCAAAAATAGGAAGAAAAAGTATTTCTACAGTAAACTCTATTAAATAGAAGTAAATTTATATAAAATAAAAAAGATCCCAAATAGCCGTAGCAATTTTAAGAAGAACAGAGTTGGAGGGATCACAATACTAGATATCGTTATACTACAAAGCCACTGTACTCAGAATACCTTGGTACTAGCACACAAACAGGCATATAGACCAATGAAACAGAACAGAGAACCCAGAAATGGACCCAATTAATATTTGACAAAGGAGGCAAGAACATACAATGAAGTTAAGATAGTCTCTTCAATAAATGGTGTTGAGAAAATTGGACAGCTATGTGCAAAAAAATGAAACTAGGCTACAAACTTACACAAGGAAGACATACAGATGGCCAGTGGACATATGAAAGGATGCTCAAAGTCACTAACCATCAGAGAAATGCAAATTAAAACCACAATGAGCTATCACCTCATACCTGTCAGAGTGGCTGTCATCAACAAATATGACAAGTGTTGGTGAGGATATGGAGAAAAGGTAACCCTTATACACTGCTGGTGGAAATGCAGATGGGTACAGCCTCTGTGGAAAACAGTATGGAGTTTCCTCAAAAAATTAAAAATGGAACTCCCATTTGACCCAGTGGTTCCACTTCTAGGAATGTGTCCCAAGAATTCACAAACACCCATCAGAAAGAATATAGCACCTCTATGTTCATAGCAGCACAATTTATAATAGCTAAGATATGTAAACAGCCTAAGTGCTCATCAGCAGATGAATGGATTAAAAAGCTGTGGTACATCTGTACAATGGAATGTTATGCGTCTGTGAAAAAGAAAGAATTCTTACCATTTGCAACAACATGGTTGGACCTAGAGAGTATGCTAAGCAAAATAAGCCCACCAGAGAAAGATAAGTATCACATGATCTTACTCATATGTGGAATCTAATGAACAACATAAACTGATGAACAAAAACAGACCCAGAGATATAGAAACATTGAACAGACTATCAAACTTCAGAGGGAAGGCAGGGGAGGGTGAAGGGGGAGAAGAGATCAAGCAATGAACTCATATGCATATATGTTTAACCCATAGTCACAAATAGGGTGATGAAGGCTTTGGGAGGCAAGGAGGTGGTGGGAGCAATGAGGGAAAAAGGGACATATTAATACTTTAAACAATTAAGATTTATTGAAATAAAGAAGTAATATATGCACCCCTATATTCAAAGCAGTACAATTTACAATAGCTAAGATTTGGAAACAGCCAAAGTACCCATCAGCAGATGAATGGATTAAATAACTGTGGTACATCTACAAAAGGGAATACTATGCAGCTGGAAAAAAAAGAATTCTTACTATTTGCAACAGCATAGATGGACTTGGAGAGCATTATGCTAAGTGAAATAAGCCAATCAGAGAAAGTTAAGTATCACATGATCTCACTCATATGTGGAATCTAATGAGCATCATAAACTGAAAAAATAGATCCAGAGACACAGAAGCTTTGAAAAGACTGTAAAACTCAGAGGGAAGGCAGGGGAGGGTGGGTGGGTGGAAGAAATCAACCAATTAACTTGTATGCATATATGCAAAACCCATGGACACAGATAACAGGGTAGTGATGGTCTGGGTTGGGGGATGGGGGCAGGCTGGGAGAGGTCAATGGGGGAAAAAGGGAGACACATGTAATACTTTCAACAATAAAGATGAAAAATAAATAACCTAAAATAAAAGTGAAATTGGAAAGCTATGGCTTTGATTTAACTGAAAGTCAGCAAAATATCCTATCTAATAAAAGAGAAACATGGTAATTGGGAGTACGACCACTACCCTTCCCATTGGCTAATCAGCAAAATATGCAAATTAACTTCCAGCCAAGATGGCAGCAGGCAGCCAGGCAGCTTGAAACTAACATGAGGCTTGCTTGCTTCAGTGACGGAG